GATAGCACGGGAAGCGGGCCGCTGCCGTGGTGTTGCCCTTTCGGTGTTCGCTACGGCCTGTCTGTTTCGTGAAACGGAGCTGGCGTACATCACGCTCGGTTCGCAAAGCATCAAACTGGATTACGCTCAGAGGATTGTTGGTCTTCATCTGAGCGTGCAGGAGAACGACCCGGCCGCCCGAGGTGCGTGGCACATTCTTGCAAGTGAATGCAGGCGAACATCTCCATGCTTGTGTCCTTTTCATGTTGCTGATGATTCAGTCTGCAAAACAGCTGAACAGAGTTAGGCGCACGCGACTGGAAGACGTCCCGCCGGGAGCTTTCCCTTTAGTAGATCAACGTGCATGCCCTTCAAGGTTGTCGGACGTGGGAAAAACTTTCTGATTGACGAAGCTCAAAGACTCGCCTCGTTGATTAAGCTTTCGAATGCAGCTGCTTCGCAACTCGAGATTACGACAGTGACTGGGCACTTTGCGAGACGGTCTGGCGCTAAGGAACAGGCCAGGCGAGGTATTCCTCTGTCCACCATTCAATGCATGGCTCGGCACAGCTCTTTGGCCACCCTCGGCTACATTGAAGAAGCATGGGCAGAAAACCCTCGGGAATCGTTCCGATGCATAGATGCCTCGTCCATTTCGAATAAGCTTCAAGTCGCAGTGGGGGACGAACAAGTGCCTTTAAAGAAACACAACACGAAGTCTGTGCGGGTCAAGCTTCCTTATCCGGGGAGCTTGATCGTTTGGAAGCGCAGCTGTTGGATCTTGCAAGCGAGAGCCTGCAGGTCAGGCTTCCATCTGATCTGATGGGCCAGATGCGAACAAAGCTTAGAAAGATGGTGATTCCAGTTGGTGTGTTGAACACTCGCACCAAGTTTTTGCACCATGTAGATCAGAGGACTTGCATTCTGAGAAAGCCCGATCAGTGGATATGCAAATGCGGTTGGAGGTTCATGTCGTCATGCAAAAAAACCTTTTCTTTGATGACGATGAGCTCCCTGAAGGGGCAGCCGTTTGTGATCATTGTCTCAGAGGCCGGGATTGAAAAGGCGAAGGTAGTTACAGTTGTGCTTGCTGGTCTCGGTGGCATAGCTTGGTCAAAGGAGAGCTGGCTGTACACTTAGAAGAAGTGTGCGCTGGCGATCCGGCTGTACACTTAGAAGAAGTATGCGCGGGCGGCGATCCTTTCGTGTCTTGGAACGACCAGTACTTTCGCCAACATCGAGCAAAAGGCCTATTGACTTGCAGCGCGCTTTTGATCTCATTGGGTTGGGCTTCGGCTGACTGTGGGTTTCCGTGACGTATTTCCGCGGATGTTTTGCTGTTGTGCTCCGCAGACGAAGCCCGGTAAGTAAGCAAGTCCATGACCGCTTCTGCACCGCAGCAGCCGATAGGCAGCTTTGCAGGAACACGATAACAGTTCCCGCAACAGCTGAAAAGAATAACCACGCCGCAACAGCCCTAAATGCCTTCATTCCTTCGCAGCAACAACGACAAAACAAGACACGCCCGCCCACAGCGACAGCCAAAACGACACCCCGGCAGCAACAGCAAGAACTAAAAAAGCCACCTGCAGCAACACCACAAAACAAACACTATCCCCCCCCTCTCTCCGCAACAACAGCGAGCAAAACGCCTGCTTGCGACATGGCCTTGGCCGATGGGGCGTATCAAATGCAGCCGTTGTACAAGCTGGCCATGCGGACGCTTGCGGGCCATGCCCCTGGCCTTGCCGGCCTAATGGCGTTCCAATACGTCGCTTTCAATCGATCCCTGAGCGAGGTCTCCCTCCAGGACGGCTCTGTGATGTCGTGGTGTTCGGCGTTTGCCATCGCGGCTTTGTCTTGCAGCGCCGTGCTCGCGAGCGCGTCATTTTTGCTTGCCGACTACTTGAGACGGATTGCCATTGACAAAGCCATGTTTCAAGGCTTCGGGCTCCAACTCCCTGCCAAGAGCATTAGGCATAGCAACATCGGAGTTTGCACACTTGTTTTGGCCTTAGTTAACTTGGCATTGTTGCTCGTGGAACTGTGGCAAAGTGTGCTGTTCAAGGGAATGCCTTTGAACGAGGTGCCTTTGGAAGGTATTCAGCGAGCATTGCCGTTGGTACTGTACCTGGTGAACCTGGCTGGACTTGTGCGGTCGCCGAAGGTTCGATGGCATGAATGTCAATGGCTCATGCAAAACCCACGATCACTTCCAACCTTCCTGCTGATAGAAGGCTTTGCCCATGAGCAGGTTCAATCGTATTATTGGAATCAAGGGTGGATATTCCAGACGAGCCGGGCTGTCCGTCAACCTCCACACAGGGATGACGGCATCGAGCTCACGTCTCGCAGCAGAACCGTTCAGGAAGTTACCCCGGAACTGGAACCTGACGTGTCTGACATGACCTTAGCGGACCTGCCGTCGCTGGTAAGAAAGGTCCCTGCCCTCATGTCTCACCGTCATGGCGCGGTTCCCATACACCTGGTGCTGGGTTTTGTTCTCCTAGCTTCTCTGGTGTATCTCCCAGCCGCAATGCTCCAGATTTGTAAGGCCTTTTTCACGCCGCAGATCAAGAACTTCGAAGTACATGGAGGCAATTTCCGCGAGGAGGTGCAAGACAAGGTGACCTTCTGGATCGTGCCGGACGAGGGTCAAGACCAGGTGGGGGCAAGCTGGACAGATAGCGTTGTCAGTCAGTGTTTAGGCATTGTTCTGTTCTCTGTGTACGGCATGGCACCGGTACTCCAGTATTGGAACCACATCGAGAAACGCATAGCGCCTATTCGACGACTTTTTTTTGCTTGCCGAACTTGCACCCCGTCACCAGAACGAGAGCTTGTGCAAAAACAAACAAGCATGACAAGCAACTTCTGCTATACACCTTTTCCAGTTTTCCTCCTTTCCCACCCCAATCTTACCACTAGGTTGATCGTTCAGTATCATTCCGGTCCTGCTGCCTGATGTTCGCCTCCACCCATACCCATCGCCACAACGAGAGAGAGACCTTTCCCGTGAAAGAAGCGTTTGGGAGCGCTGGACCCAGAGACTGGCAGAACCCTTCCGGAATCTTTCGTTCTCAAGGGACTTCAATCTGTGTCTGCGTGCGGTCGTGTTAACATGCACAGCCCCATCCTGTTTTTTGCAGGGGGTTCGTGCAACTGTTCACAGCGGTCCCAGTGCACCTGCCCATTTGTTCATCATGCAGCCGGCCACCAGGTGTTGTTGCGCTTGACTGCGGACACATCAACGGCCAGCTCCTTCTATCTTTGCCCAGGCGACAGTTGTTCGGAGCCTGTGCGCAGGAAGGCGAACATGCGGCTCAACTCCCAGCAGCTCACCATGCAGCTGACGCGAGAACACTTCGGTATGCGGAGCTCGTTTAAGCTCTGTGGATTCTTTACTCGCATCGTCTACGTGGCCATTGTAGATCTCCAGAAGGTTCAGATCACAGTTGGGACAATGAGCAAGGCTGCTGTTGTGAGTGGCCAGCCTTCTATGTTTCGAGGTAAGTTCCGGAGTGACAGCATCCAAGGCGAGACCGTTAGCTTCGATTTAACGGCCGACCGGCGCTTGTTTGACTTCGATCTCCGGACCTCGATACTCACAACGACATCCAACCCCACACGCCGAGATCTGTGCAGAGCCTCTTCTGGACAAGTTGCCTGCAAGGTCGCAGATTTTCAGCGGTGGTGTGGGCAGGCCTGTGATCTCTCGGTGGAGTTGTCCATGAAGTTTAGCACGGAGGAGAAAACCTTGAGGCTGATGGTGGAGCTTCGCAACACGGAGCTGTTTCATCTCCAGGAGGTTTCGGACCTTCAGCGGAAGATGGATGCCAGCGAGATGCCAGAAGAGGTGTTGAGCCTTCGACGGGCAAGAAACTTCTTGCTCAAGGAAACTTACGACGTCTACAGGGGTCAGCAGAAGAGGAACGATATGCAGCAGAAGACCATCCTCTTGACTGGACTCACCGGGGCAGGCAAGTCGGCGGCGTGTCGCTTCTTGACAATGAACGAATCTTGCAGGTATTCAAACAGCTGGAATTCTCACACGAAGAATGTTTCTGAAATCAGCGGCCATGCCTTCAGCGATGAGATCCAACCTCGCCTGCGCATCTTCGACATTCCTGGCTTTGGTGACACGGAGGGCGCAGCCGTGAACGAGAGACAGTTCAGCCAGACCATCAGTACCCTGGCTGATGTAGAAGGGCTAGATGCCGTCTTCTGGGTTGTCAACGGAGCCATTCGCCGCAAGCTGGGCCCGCGCCAGGACATGTGGCGACAGTACAGGAAAGCATTCGGCTCCAAACTGTTCGAGAAGCTGTACGTCATCGTCAATTTCGTGCCGCGGATGCAGTACGCTAGTCAAGAGGAGCTAATGAGCAAATGGATCGAGGAGTTCAGGGCATTTCTGCTTTCAGAGGAGCGGGAATTCATGCAAGATGCTTGGGAGTTGGTGGAAGACCGAGCAAGGGGACTTGTCAGCAAGAGCCTCAAAGTTCGCATCGTGGACATGAATCCCACGTATTTGGAGGGGAATCTTCCTGTACCGCTGTCTGCACCGATGGTCAGCAGCCTGCCGCCTTATTCCATGCCAATGAACTTGGTGGAATTGTTGCAGGCAGTTGCGGATATCGGTAAATCTTCGGGGAAAAAGCTGGTAGTGAATGCTGCGTGCCCACTCCGTGGCTATGGCGAAGTGGACGAGGACCGTACGAGCTACACCACCCGAGCAACCAGGGATGGCTCTTTGATGACGGTGAAGCTGCATGGTCAATTCCTGGGCAAGGGTGACAGCCTGCTGGCGCAGTCCGCCAGCTTTGGGTGTGGCCACGCGCCGGCTCAGTTTCTCGTTCTTTTGAGCCACCGCGAGGCTGCCAACGAGACTGCGATCTTCGAGGCCCTGCTCCCTTACAGGGTCTCTGAGTGGCGGGGAGTCAGGCTGTGCTTTCGCGAGGCGCCGCCTGAGCCGGACAGCCAAGAGGATCTGTCGCGACACTGCCAAGAAGCTGGAATGCTGCAGCTTTCGGAGCATGCCTGGGCTCATAGCGAAAGCTACGAAATCGTTCAGACTCTGCATGAAGCCCAAGGAAGCATCAATGCACTTGTGTTTGCTGGCCATCACGATTTCCTGGCAGCTGCAGGCGACGACGACACGTTGCGGGTGTACAAGCATGATTACTCACATGGCGGAAAGTATGTGCTGCGAGCGACTCAGGAACGGGATAGCGGTATCACTTCACTGGCATGGTCGCCTCGTGTGCAGTATCTGGCGGCCAGCACTGTTGATGGAAAGATTGTGGTGTATCGCCTCATCCATCATTCCCTCGAATATCGAGCCTCCGCTGTTGCGACAGGCGTAGCATGGTGTGGTGAATACGTGGCTGCTGCAAACCGCAGTGGGAATGTGGAGTTGTTCAATGTCGAAGCGGGTGAAGGAGGGTTCAAGCTGAAGCTTTTCGAAACGTTGAGAGGTGGTGCGGCGCAAGTCACTGCTGTTGCATGCGCAGGCGGGAGGATCGTTGCAGCGAGCGCCGACTCTCACGTGCGCTTGTATGTGCACGGTGGTCTGACGCCTATCTTTGAACGAACCGTCCCGGGCGTCGAAGCTGTGGCTTTGTGGGCGACATACCTGGCGCTTGGGAGTGCTGATGGGAGTGTATCGTTGATCGATTTCGCATTGCAGTCTCCATCCTACCAGACGACCCGGAACGATGCCCATGAAGCTGTACTGACACTTGCACTGTCCGATGAAAGGCTTGCTGCAGGGAGTGCGAACGGAAAAGTTTATGTGTACAAAACTGGTCTCGGTGCTGAGTCATTCCGTGGAACCCATCAGAGCATTGGCGTGGTCGTCTGGTAAAACTCTGGCTGCTGGAGGCAACGACTCGACAGTGCGGTTGTACGAGCTAGCAAAGACTGACAGGGTGGGTTTCAGTTCAGACCTTCAAGCTGTCTCCCTTTTAGGCAAAAGCCGCCAAAGATCTTGAAAGCCTGCGTTACCTAGAAGCCCGGAACCATCAAAGCTTTCATGATCTATTGCATTCCAGGTAGTTTCGAATTCACTTCAAGCTTCGCCCCCCGGGCCGGTGAACGCCGGACCGAACCGAACCTCGAAGCTGTGGAACAGCTTGACATGT